ACCAAAATGTATTCAGACACCTTCAACATTTCTCACATTATCAGTTTATTTGCTATAGTTTAGAAAATGGTAATAAAATATGACAAGAACTCAGAGTTAAACTGTCAGAACAAATTCATCTGGATAATGTCAGATAACTTTGATAGAAAGGTATGTAATGGTTTACAATCAACCAAAAATTCAGACAACTGTTAGTATGACAGTATTTACACAACTATCAATACTTTGATAGTACTTTGATACTAAATATATTGTAGAAACTTAATTTTCTGTAAAGCTGCTTTGTAACGATTTGTATCGTGAAAAGCGCTATACAAATAAACTTTAACTTCGTTGACCAATTACTAAGCAATGCTTAATTTTTTTTCAGTCTGTGGTGTAAAAAGTTTGCATTAGCAATTAAAGAAAAAACACTTAAGCAAAACATGGTCAGGCCAAAGTGTCTAACTAATTTTTGGTCCCAATTTTTTTTTAAATCAATTTCACTGGTAGTCCACTGTATGAAGAATTTATGGGTATGATATGTCAGTTTACTTTATTTTGCTATACTCACTTACATAAATGACAAAAAAAAGTAATAAACTTATTTAATTAACATTACAGCAGCTAGTAAATTAGGCGCGGTCACTTTAAGAGATAATGCATTCATTATAATGATACACATCTGATTTCTTTCTCTACTGTTTACAAGACATAACCGACCGTTTTTTCGAGGATACTCTCCAAGACTGGTATTTTGACATCACTTTGTTAGTTTAGTTCTTTAGAGGTCAACACACCAGCTTGTAATTTTCAAGTAACCCCAAACACCTTTAGTTTGTTCAGGATTTGTTTGATCATGGGAGCTAAAACCTCATTTTTATACACAAACATGTCACAAAAATGGTTTTGTTGATTCCTCAACTATATGGATTAACTGCCAACTGTAAGTGGTTTGCTAAAAGTTATGTTAGAGGTTTAAGAAATATTGCACAGACCACTTAAGAATTTAAAGGGCTAGTTCACACAAAAATTAAAATTGTCATCATTTACTCATTTTCTCCAAAAGTTTTTTTTTCTTCTGGAACACAAAAGAAGGGTATTTATTTATTTATTGTCCATACAACTGAATTCAAAAGGTTCCAATGTTATTTGGTTCCAAGCATTCATCAAAATATATTTTGTTCTGCAGAAGAAACAAAGTCATAAAGGTCTGAAACAAGTAAATGATTTTTGGGTGAACTATCCTTTCAATAGCCTGTCAGTGTCAAGAGTCCAAAAATGACTACTAAACAATAGGTAAATGTATCAAGATTAATTTTTTATTCAACATTTGTTCTTTTATTTATTTATTTATGCTCCTCTTACAACGTAATGGACAGTTAGGTCTATACGCAGCCCCAAATTTACAGGCTATATACAATTTGAACTTTCTCCATAGGGAAAACACACTCTATATATACGCATATATATAATACCAGTGTGGAAAGAGGTCTGAAAAGTTGCCCCAACATATATATATATATATATATATATATATATATAACTGTACACGGTCCCAGAAACTGAAAAGAACATATTTTAAAACGTTAGCACTGAAACAAGAATCATCCATCTACATGCAAAAACAGCCACATCAGTTAGTCTAAGAATGTATACATCCAAGTGTGAATACACAAAACTAAAACCTGACAACCAAAATAAAAAAGTTCAATGTGTTTTCTCTCACACGCTTACAGAAGCAAAACAAATGCAGGGACTCTACCGCAACATAATGCTAGTGTGATGGGTAAACCTGGCTTGCTCTTACTGGGACAACCGACAGGGATCACAGTGTTAGTTTGAAATCAAATCTCTTTATACATACAGGCTGTGCTCTATCTGCAGAACTGTGTAGCGGTCAGTGTGGCTCAATACAGACATCTTCCCATCCATGAATCCTTCACCATCTCTCAGACTCTTACAACACTCCCGAAGCCTAAAAGATGTTTATTTAAGGAACACGAGGTGACATTGATCCACCTTCCAATTGCAACATTATTAGTCACTAAAACATAAAAGACAAAGCCTCTGAGAAATGCATTCACTACACAAACACACAAACGCATGTAACTTTAACACTCTGCTACATGACAAAATAACCATGCAGTTATTTCCTGCACATATAATATCCAACATTTATTACCAGTGGCAAGATGAAGGCATTGAATGTGTTGGAATACATTCGCAATGACATCCAGAACAATGTTTGCGCCGTTGCAAACTAATGGCTATTTAATATGGTTCATACACCACTGAGCTGGATTTAAGTAGGTGGAGAATAACTTAAAGAGTGCAGGTGCAGCAAGAGAACAATAGGGGGCGTCTGTGCAGCATTGAACAGGACTCCAGATTGACAACGTTAAAGGCACTCCTGTCAGAGTCCCATGACTCACGTGACAGTCACACAACAATAGTGTCTATGCCAGCTAGAGCACTACAGATAAATCATATAAACTCTGTAAAAAGATTTTTCTAATAGAAACATCTCACATACGCTCCTGGTGTCATGGTGTCAACTTCATGATTGACTATTGTACACTGCAAAAATGATTTTCTTACTCCGTATTTGTCTTGATTTCCAGTAAAACCCTAACTTTTTAAAATCAACATATTTATACAATAGCAAAACAAAATGGCTTGATACATTAAGTCTTGTTTTCTGAATAAAAGTATCAAAGTTCAGTGAGTTTATGCTTATGTGAGGCAAGAAAGAAGCTTTATTGGAAGGGAAATGAGATTTTTCTTACTTCAGATATTTTTTTTCTTGTTTAAAGCATAAGCTCACTTAATTTTGATACATTTAATATCTTAATTCATCTTCCTTCTCAAGTAAATGTATCTCGCTTTAGGAATGTATAAATATTTGAAAAAAAAAAAAAAAGACATTTAAAAAATATTAAGAAAATCATTTCTCCAGTGTAATGATGAACTATAGTGGTAAAATATGACACCAAACTGACCAGGTAAATTGATTTTAAAGCGACAGTTCACAAATAAAAAAAAAATCATTATTCACTCATCAAGTCGTTCCAGACTTTTACGACTCTCTTTATCGTGCAGAACACAAGAAGAAGCTATTTTGAAGAGTTTTTCTTTTTTTTGTTCAGACAATGAAAGTCAACAGGGTCTGTGTGGTTTTGAACCCCACTGACTTTTATTGTACTGACAAAAACAGTTCATGTTCATGTTTTGCAGAAAGAGGAAAGTCATACAGATTGGAACGACAACCTCTCTCTTTAAGAACTGTAGGGACTTCAAGAACTGGTTCAGGATTCGACACAGTACATTAAACCTGGTCTAGCGGGAGCTGAGAAGAGTATTCACATGAGGTGTGCTGTTAGTTGAGGAGTTAGTGTGAGGTATTATGGGGGCTGCCTTTTCATTAAGTCATTTAAACTAGTAGTCACACATATCAGGCTGGCTGAGAGTCAATCTAGGCTGAGATCGCACCACAGTTTCATCATAATACACTCCATAGAGCCTAAAACACACTGAGCAGCACACAAGCACCTAGAGAAAACACACTTTGCCTTTGCCCACACATAAAAATAAAACATCTCTTTTTGTCTTTTATTATATATCATTATATAGTAGACATTCAATAAATTTCTTTGCGTCGTGTTTATATACTTTCTTTTCATTTGGAATGTACTGAGTCCTTTAGCTTTATAGTTCGTTTGAATGCAGTACTGCATGTGGCAGCAGTCTCAAACGGGGCAGACCGGTCTATAAGTGTCTATACTCTATCTGGGGGTCCCTATGTCAGAGCTTCAGGCCAGCTTTAGCGTGCTGACTGGGAAGGAGGGCATGGTCACCATTGTAACTGGGTTGAGGACGGTCTGGCCCACCAGTTGAGGGTGATGGGTAACCATCTGAGCACCCACCGGTGTTTGCTTGGCTTGCACGTTGGTCGCCGAAGTGCCGTTCATCTGGCTGTGAGAGAGCGTTTGCGCGATGCGGCTCATGACCGTCGGCTGTGTGACTGTGACGGGCTGTGGGTAGATTGCCGGAAGATGGGCGACAGTGATTTGGCTAATGGATTGAGGTCCTGGGGCCAGCTGCACCGAGCTCGAGGAGGAAGGAGCGATGTGGGCCACGTGCTTGGAGCCCGGCTGGATCACACGGTTGACGGCTTGAATGACGGAGGCGTGTGACGCCGATCCCGCGTGGGCGATGACGGAAGGCTGCAGGCTGGCCGTGGTCACTATATGGGTCTGGGCTGGAGGTAGTGTCTGTGGGGTCACCACCGGGGCGGCAGGAGCGGATGCTGGGGTTGAGGTCAGAGCGGGAGCTGTGATTGGAGCGGCGGCAGCGATGGGGGAGAGTTGAGCTGAGGGAATGGGGGGTAAAGTCTTTGACGGTTTGTGAGGGATGGGGATGTGCTGTGTTATGAGGGATGACACAGGACGGGACTTCTTTAAATCTGGCTGAAGCACAGCAGGCACTTTGGGTAAAGCGCTGGGCGTCTCGTCTTCGATATCTTCATCAATGTTGTCTTCACCTTCTGTAGAGACAACAACAAAAAATGGTCAGAAACTATTCATGGGTTAAGTTAAAAACAAGATCAAAATAAAAGCTTTTGTGGCTTTTAGTCAATTGTCATTAGCTTTGAAGCCATTTAGTGTACTTTTTACAATTTTTAGGATATGTACAGCACCGTGTAAAAGTTTGGGGAGGGTAAGATTTTTTTTAATGCTAATGTAAAGTGTATTATGATCACCAAGACTGCATTTCCTTAAAAATACAGCAAAACAATACAGTGTAATATTATTATTTTCTTTCTTTTTTCCTTTATTTCTTTCTTTCATTTATTACTTTTAAATAATATGCTGATTTGCTGCTCAATAAACATTTCTTATAATATAATATATATAATAATTTTGTGGAAAATCTGAGATACATGCAAAATGCTTTGTGGTTCACTTCATCCCACAGGATTTTCTGAGGTATAGAAAGCTCAAAAGAGCTGCATTGATTCGAAATGGAAATATTTTGTAACAAATGCCTTTACTGTTACTTTTGATCATTTTTATGCATTGTTGAATAAAAGTATTAATTTCTTTATTTAAAAAAAAGAAATCTTACTGACCCTAAACTTTTGAATGGTAGTGTTATGTAATTAAAAATTTCTGTTTTGCGCAATCTGTGTTTGTCCAATCAATCCCTACTGACTCTCTTTTAAAAAAGGCAATGAGTGCTTTTACCAAATTTAAACTAAGAAAATCTCAGGACAAAAATGTATCAAGTGATTTCAAGGACTTTTTAAGCTCTGTCAAAAAGCATGCTGTCAATTATCATGGAAACCTGCTGAAGACTAACCTGAGGCAGTGGAGGTAGAGGCCTGGTCATCATCTGGCTGGACAGTCTGTCGAAGAACACGGTCGATCTCAATCACGTCCAACCGCTGACTCAGCTCGTTCTTGAGCTCGGCCAGTCTCTGCTGCAAGGCGATCTTCTCCCGCGCCAAACGCTCCATCTCATGCTCGTAGTCCTTCTCCTTCCTTTTCAGAGTCTATGTGGGGAAACGGAGAAATAAATAAGTGAGCATTTTCCACATGCACTAAGAGCTGGCAGGGTGCACTTAAAGTCTATAGTCTGCAAAAAGACACAGCTGCAACAATGAAATGTCATTTTGCTGTGCAGCAAAAAGCAGGTTTAGATTTAATCCAATATATGTATTTACAGTATATGTATAATTTATATCTTGCTTTATATATAAAACGATCATCATAATGTGATTTTAGACTATATCTGATTACATATATATATTTGTCATTTATATCCCTCTCTCCATATAAAACTATCTATAAAATAACTGGTCATCATGTCAGGGTTTATTCTGTGATGATGATCAAAAATACCGAGCACCGTCAAGTAATGCAATTTCTTATAAGGAAGACATTTGGGAATTTAGACGTGCAAGTAAAAAATGTCACATGCTTCTCTGTAAGTGTGCTTGTAATCATCTACAGGCGTAGATGTCAGTTTCTGCTCCTTCCTGGATGCCTTACCCTGCCACTGCCACTCTCTCTTACTCACACAAACACGTGGATTACCCAGCACCTCCCACTTCTGGGAAAGCATTCACTTGCTGTGCACGAGTGCACACGCCGAGTAACCAGTGGGAGGAGCCCATGACACACGAGCTCGGCCAATCACAAGTGGACATCTGGGTAGTGTGAGCGTGCTAAACAAGACTACATCTCAACCTACCCACAAAAACACACAGATACTGATCCAACTTCACAAACATGAGGTAAACTGTAGATCAGAGAAACAGGAAACTCCAGACACACACACACATACATACAGATAAAGACAGAAGGGAGGGACAGAGGGCCAGACATGGCACACACTGGGCTGGGTAGAAGCGACCCAGTTTCCCTGCACTGTCAGCTGACACATGAGAAACAAACAGGCAACGAGGACACAACAGCAGCTAAGGCCCTTAAGAGGATGGATCGAGAGAGATTAAGGGGTCTGTGCACCAAGAAGGGGAACTCCACTAAACTAAAAACAATGATGCTCAGCAATATATCTGACAGGGGAATAGAAACTTTAAAGTAGTAGTAATATTAATAATTTTATATATATTTTTACATTTTTATTTTTAATATTAAAAAAATACAATATGTAAAATTTTCACAAAATAATGTGTGTGTCTGTGTATGTATGTGTGTGTGTATATATATATATATATATATATATATACATACATACATACATACAAACTTTTTTAAAAGATATAACAATACAGGATGTAATAATAATCACAAAAATACATTTTACATATTTTGTAACATTTTATTAGAGATTACATATTGTATAAAACAACAATAATAATAATTCATGGTTATCAGTAACTGTATTTATAAACAAATATATTGTTAACATTTTTAAAGAATATTTTACAAATACATGCACAATATTTTGGAAAATACTTCTTATAAATGTATATATTAAAATAATATAATATAATAAATAATCATATACAATCATACTCAATGTATTAATAATAATAAATAATAATAATAATAAATATACTTTATACATTATATTTAAAAATGTTATTACAATTATACACATTTTAATAATAATAATATCAACAATAATAACATATTATAAATAAATACAATTATTAAAATGACAAGCCTGAAGTCTGAAAGCTGAGGTTTAAAAATAAATCTCAGTGAACATTTCGGTGATGATGCAGATAAATCACTTAATTGAGTCACTGAAAAAGACAGTTCGAATTGATTCATAATGAATTTAAATAACCATTTCTTTAAATTAGAAAATCAAAAATCACTGCATATAAAATACATTTAAAGAAACCCACTACTGACACACTAACCCTCAAACAATGAGCAATGACAATGGATGCACGTATCACACAGCACCACGTGCGCTGGACAAGCATGGCCCTGACGAAATAATAACAGCGTGGAAAAAAGATCCAGGCCAGTCAATTGATATGTGTACAGGTGTGTGTAGATCGCAAGACAGAAGATAAAGGAGGACTTGCAGTTTGGCTCGGGGTCGATCAGGTCTCTGTTCTGTTGCACTATTGTAAATAATTACAGGACACTGGGCCAATCGATACACGCCACTTCCTTTCCAAAGCACAGAGTGGCCTTTCGCCTCTCAGAGGTGCGTCTTTGTCTCAGCAAATTAAGACGCTGGAGTACTCGAGCGTTGTCAAGGCAACAGCTGAAAACCATCACAGTTGCTGTGGTAACAGGTACGGCGAGCGGGCAGCACAGTGTGACAGTGTGAGCATGTGTTGTCTGCACTGGGCAGCAGCATAAAGCCTGTTTGATTGAGCACCTCTCAGCAGCTCCATATATAGGTCTGGTGTGCTGGACACACGCTTTATGTAACAACACTAACAGAATGAATCAGAGCAGATAGCAGCATACAATCTTCAGGAAAACGTGTGACCTCAGTTGATCCTTTACGTTGTCCTGCCTTTATTTTAGGCCTAACATTACGAACCAATGCCGTCTGCTGTTTTCTTAGTCAAATATTTGCTCTTTTTTAATATATACTCTACCTATTGTTTAAAGTTTAGGGTTTGTAAGATTTTTTGAATGTTTTAAAAGAAGTCTCTTATGCTCACATGCTGCATTTATTTGATCAAAAATACAGTAAAACAGTAATATTATTACAATTTAATATAACTGTTTGCTATTGAGGTATATTTTAAAATGCAATTCCTGTGATGGCAAAGCTGAATTTTCAGCGTCATTTCTCCAGTCTTCAGTGTCACATGATCCTTCAGATGTCATCCTAAGATGATGATTGGTGAGAAATATTTCTTATTATCAATGTTGAAAACAGTTGTGTTGCTTAATATTATATTATAATAGTTTAATATATTACAGAAACAGTGGTACATTTTTAAAATTAAATATAATTCAATATAAATAACATAATATAATTCAAACATTATTTAAAAAGTTCAAAAGAATAACATTTAATTTAATTTTTTTAATAACATAACATATAGCTAACATAACATATTTTTTCTTAAATATATACATGTATGTGTGTGTATTTATATATACACACAAGAAATATACACAGTACACACACATATTATGTAAACAATTTTTTTTTATTTTGGATACAATTAATCGCGATTAATCAGCACTAATATACAGACCCCAAACATTTGAACAGCAGTATAAGTCATATTTGCATTCAGAAATGCATGAAATGTAATTTTATGAAAAATATGGGCAAACATTGTTGCCAGGTCACTTATAACAGAGTATTAATACAGGATTACTGTCTTTTCTCCCCGCCAAAAAACTTTGCTGAATAATTTAACAATGTCTTTAAACAAAACCAGCCATATCATAATCCATCATTCCAGCCGACAATAACACCCAATACATTTTTACCACCTGGTTAGCACATTTTAATGAAAACCAAGCAGTTTATTTCTATTGGATGTTCTGCAAAACTCAGCTGAATTAGTATCAGTAACCAAACGGGGTGTAGCTTATCAAAGAGCCAATTACAAACAAACCTCCAGTTGTAAGAAAAATTCTAGATGCTGATTGGTTGAATACAGCATTCCAGTTGTGCCTGACACACATGATCTAGTAACAGCTATGATGCGAAACACTTATCAAGTTAATAGCCAAAGGTAATAGCAATACCAGACCACATTTAAACCGCCACACAAATCTAAACCTGAGTCTCGGTGCAAGCGTTTCCTAACATTACATCTGCACCCCGTAAAAGACAGTTACACACGAGCCGTCCCTGGTCTTTTTTACAAGCATGCCCTCCTTCCACTGGGGGGCCGGCGCATTCCTTGCTGGCTGTCTCCACCAGGCCCTCATTGACCCCACCTCCCACCACTGATGAGGCATGTTGACAGCTCTCTGGTCTGTGTGCTGCATCAGGCGCAGCTCCAGCCCACAGCTGTGCATGCCTGCCTCTATTAGTCACACACACACACACACACACACACACACACCCACACACACCCACACACACACACACACCCACACACACCCACACACACACACACAGGCCGGCCTGCCTGCCTGCTCCACAAACACCCAAACCCACTGAACTCCTGATCCGCGGACTGGGGTCCCTTCACTCCCTCCCTCTGGCTTCAGCCCAGAACGGCTAAACCATCCGTGTTATTTTGGTATTTTATAGTTTACATTAATATTTTTAATTCGATTTTAATTTAGTTTTTTGTAATTTTTCTTAGAGTTTTCATTAAGCTTTAGCTTAACTTTTCATTTAGTAGTTCAACTTAAACTAAAAAAATATGAGAAATAGAAACTAGATTAAGTTTTTTATTTGATCTTATTTCAGTGAATTTCAAGGAATCAAAATGGTTTTATGATTTCAGTTAACAATAATAAATAACTCCTGACTGAATATGAGATGTTATCATCTCCGGCACAGGAATAACAACATCTGGATGGTGTTTCAGGAGATGAATGTGAATCATTGTTGTATTCATATTCTGGAGGCTATGTAAATGTGTGTGCCTAAAATAAGGCCAGAGAGGAACATCTGCGTGAACAGCAGCTCTCAAACTCAGGGCCGACTTGAGGGATGAACTGATAGTGGCTTTAATTAGCTTTTGTAGTCGGTTTCTCACAAGCCAAGAGAATGACCTCACCCTCCCCCATCGTTTGCTCTCTTCAGTTACTCACCGAAGCCCCGCCCCCTGACTGCGCACATGTGAACGTGTCATAATGTTTATGTATATACAAGTGTGCATGCTTTTTGATGGATTTGTATGAGTTAAAAATGAACTCGCATGCAGTGTTAGGATGTCCTGCGTTTACAGACTCAAAGGGAGAGAAAGAGAGCCACGTTGCAGCCACGCTCTTCCTCAAAAACAAGCCCGCAGTAAAGGATATCCCATGACTCCAGTTTGAGGTGTTTGATAACTTGGTCAGTTCAAGCACGGCTATAAATCTCACTGGGTCTCTGGTTTTGTTGTGATGCTAAAGAGGAAGTCTTGCAGTGCAGTGTACATTTGTTTGGGGACAGAGATAGATCAACCAACATTATTTCCTTCAACTGACACTTTTTGTGACAAAAAGAGTTTGGGTTTGATTAAATTACACAAGGCTTTCAAATGGCAAATCTACTCATTTTTTCTTAGCAGGTTGCCAGACAAATGAAAAAAAAAATAAAAAAGGTTAAGAAGATATCAAAGATATCAATATTACTCCTAAACAAAAAAAATAACTTGTAACTGCTGAACTGTTTTCATCAGTTCATATTTCACAGTATTACTGTTTTTACTGTATTTTTGACCAAATAATTATAGCCTTGCATAGAAATGTATTAAAAAAAAAGTATTAGCCGGTCTTTAAGGGGGATATATACATTAGGTCAGAATTAGTATTTTATAATTGCAACTGGACAGACAGTTGTTCTGAGAAAGTGCAGCTTTGTCATTTTGCTAGACACTCCCTTTGAACAGTTCATGAGGATGGATAGACAATAACAGAATTTTCCATTCAAAGCAAATGATCTACAGATGGTGCGACTCATTTGGACAGACCAAAATTAGACATGTAGAAATGTCTGCCAGCCAGGATGACATTTACCAAATAATACTTGCAGTGGTTTGTACAAGACAAATAGGCCTTTTACCATGCATAGGAATCATGTGATCTAACCTCACAAGGATAAACCACTAGTTCCTGTAGTGTAGGGCATGATATAGATGACCAACTGACCCACATAGGCCTTACTATAGTGCTGACACGCACTGTTACACAAAGACAGGAAATGAATCAGGTGGATCTCACAGGATTCATTCTGGTTTTGCTCATCAGTCACAAACCTACTGAGACAGCATAAACCCAGTGGGTGTAATTCAGTGCACTGATATTTATTTACTTTATGCAACTACATCAAAACATTGTGCCAATGACAAAAAACTGACCTTGTAGATTTCCCAATCCACTACAAACCATCCACACAAAAAAAATCTCAATACGATTATCTGGAATAAACAATACATCAGTCACTGGAACACAATCCACTGCTAAGCAAAACAGGTCCTGCAAGGTTTCTTAGCCAGTTAAGCTATGCGGACCCGGATACGGGTGGTTTGGTAAACCAGCAGCAAAGATGAAGTGAAGGCAGCACCTAATGCGGGGGTTTCAGGGATGTGGCTAAACGAAGATCGAGCTCAACGAGTGGACCGTGCTGCAGCAGGAACAACAGCTGGAGGGGGCTGTCACAGAGGGGTGACATCACGTAGCTCCGTCTAGCCATGTGCTCGCTACTCATGTGGCCGCGGCAGAGAACATGATGAACGCCAGAGTGGGGGAAGGAGGAAAAAAAGCACAGAGGGAGGGAGAAACGGAGGAGGAGCTCTGAGCTACTAGACAGAACAGGGAAACTCCTGAGACTCGTAGGATAACATTTAAAGCAGCAGTCACCATAATCATAATCCAAGTATTATGAGCCCAGTATAGCATGAAAAATTAATACAAATGTGTAGTTTAATAGCACGTTTGTGCATTTTAAATCAACATTTGTAAGTAATATGAACCGTGAGTCAAAACCACAAGGACTGCAGTGTGACTAGTTCCTCAAGATTTTCCACGACAAGCAAATTTCTCAGAATATCCAGAAAAATGAAAGAAACGGCTTTTATTTTCTTCCCAGAGTAACAGTATGTTAGTGTTTTTAGTATTAGTATTAATATGTAACAGTGTGTATTTTAGTATTATATCTATACTATTTGAGTAATTCTTGAATTATTTGAATTGAGCTTTTTTTTTCAGATAGTTGCCAAGGCAAGATTTGTCATTTTCTTTAGTTTTTTTAATTTACGGTTTTCATCTAATATTTTATTATTTTATTTAAATGATAATTTTAATACTGTTTTTAACTATTTTAATAACTACACTTTACAACAGGTTTCCATTTCGAGGGGTGAGAACCAGAAGGGCGTAAGTGACATTTTTGGTGAAATGGAGATATATATATATATCAAATGAAAGCTCTTAATGAGCTCTTTCTACTGGCAAAAGTACTGTCATCCATGAGTGTACAAATTTTTATTATAAACAATTGAAATCAGTACACAAAGTCAGATCAAACTATGGTAAAATTTGGTTTTGGCTCTCCTGTAAAGTGGCTCTCACCCCTCGAGTTGTTAACAATAGTTAACTACATTATTTAAAATGAATTATGAAAAATACTTCTAAAACATTTATTAATCTTAGCTAATGTTAATTTGATCACTATTTTATGGGGTAACGAACTAACAATTAACGGTTCTATTTTATTAATTAAAATTCAGAACGATTCATAAATACTGTAGCAAATTAATTGCTCATTGTTTGTTAATGCACTCATTGTATTCTTTTCTGTTTTAGACAACAGTAACAACACTGGTATATTACCTGGCCTAATACAGATAAGCATTGTCGCAATCTGTCCTAGGATTAACAAATCACTAATCAGTTACTTCACTTTGGAAGTCAAAAAGCAGATTTGGCACGACGTCACAGGAATATGTGAATCAGGTGCCATGAAGATGAATAAAATAAAGAGTAATCTCTTCAAACAATCCTCTTATTCAGTTCTGGAGGAGCTGATTGGTCAGTGAGGGGAGAGTGGAAGGGGCCGCGGACCAGAGCGCATGCAGAGGCAGACTCGTGGAGGTGAGGCGCGCGTGCCTGCCTCTGCCCATGGCCCAGCGGATGGCCTGAACACACGCTGTGCCACCGAAGCCTCTAGAGACCATCGCAAAACACACGTACACACAAACATAACACTAATCATTAAGAGAGAAGCCCCGTGACCGGCAGGCACAGGCACACACTAATCTTTTAGCAGGAACACAACAAAACAGAGAGGGAGAGGGAGAGGGAGAGGTACTGGCTGGGAAACAGCTCAAATCAGCTTTTCTGTGAACATTCAATAAAATATACTCATGAGCTTCCCGCAAACCTGTCCTTCAAGAAAAACATTCAAAGACAGTAATTACTTAGTGTCATTAATAATAATACATCCGGAGTGACTAACTAAAACTAGCCATGCTACTAACTTAACATTTTTACTAGTTGTGGCACTATTACAAGCTTGCTACAAAATGCTACATTTCTGACTTTGTCACATTGTAACAGTGAGCTATAAAAGCACTCGAAACACACTCCTAATGTCCTCTTAAATGCAGGGAAGTCTAATTTATTTTAATACATGTAAATGACAGTAAATGGACTATAAATGTAAACAAACTGGTTAAAAAAAGAATGAGAAATTCATTAAACTCCTTCAAAAATAGTATTACTATTAAATTATGAATTAAGTAATTTAACTGTATTAGTTTTGTTGAATCAGTTCATTCTGAGAGTAAGTGTAAACTAAATGGTTAAAAAAACTTGTATCATTCCGCTTCCTGCAAAACATTTTAATTTCAAATTAGGTGTTTATTAATTTTCTGTAAATTAATTCGTTATTATTACTACTGAGCAGAAATTAATTAGCACTTTAATTAGTGCTTCAGTGATGTTATTCTAATTGACAACCTATAGTTTTTCTGTGCTTGACAAATATTGCTCAGGTTGACTATTTAGTTGACTATACAGCTAAATAAATGTATTTTATTTATACATTTAAAAATACATTTAATGTATATTGACTATATGATGACTTTACATACATTTATGATGCACATACATTTCAAATCTAGCCTGTAGTTAGCTACTTTTTATAACTTATAGTATAGCTAAGTACCAGTAGTGTGTAAATCTACAGTTTCAATGTAGCTTCACAGTACTAATTACAAAAATCTAAATTATGATGTTCTAAAAACAACAGATCCACATATTCAATACAAATTCATACTCAAAAAGCTTCAAGCTCCCAGTATACAGATCACATTCTGGAAAAAATCATAGCAAATGGCTGGCTGTTTTCAGCAGGCCATGTGCTTTAAATAAATACACCTTAAGCCTGGTTGAGCAACAGGCAGCAGAGAGCGGGAAAGGGCGATAATGTGTGGGTGGGGTCAGTCCATCAAATCCACCAATGGCTAGAAGCAAGCGGCTTAAGGAGGGGGTGGGTGACGGCGCCGGGGATCCAGTGACACGAGTTCTGTTTCCACACTGCCCTAGTTGCCTCAGCTTAATCAAATCCTTTGATTTGATTGGATTTCTATTTCTTCTCCTAAAGTGTCTTGCTGTAGACGTGTGCATATGTGAATGAGGCACTGGTTTAATCAGATGATCTCGGTTTATAGACAAAGAGAAGGTGCTCTGCTCACACTGCAGGAGAGCAACTATCCATTTTCCCTCTGCAAATAAACTCGATCAGAGATCTTTAATCTCACGGCTTTAGATCAATCAAAGCAACATTGGAAATATCTCATTTTCAGCTCATCAGTCCTCAGATAAAAGAACTGTAACTAACAAACTGAAGACTGCATCATAGTGTGGTTTCCCACCTGCTCTTGCATCATTTACGCGTGTAAACATACACCTCAAGTCAAAGTCTGATGACATGGGTCAAGATACAGATGTACAGCAGACAGTGAACATGTAAATGAAGATTTATCAGCGCTTACCTGAATGTATCTCAAAGCACTTCGCAGAACACTCAGATTGGAGGTCTTCTTTTCATCAACATTAGGGATGTTCTTCTTCAGGGTCTCAAAACACTCCTTTAAGTGAGCACGTCTGAGAATACGAGATCATTTATAATTACAGAAAAGTTATAATAAGGTTTTATGTGGTATCAGCATTCACTTATGTATATTTCTATAAACATTTATATATTATACACTTATGAGACAATTACTGTAAGTGCTATATTCATTATTATCTGTTAAGTATGTGAACAATAAAAATAACAATATACATACAGTATATACAATATATACATATATTATATATACCTGATATAATATATGCATAACTTGATTGTACTGTATGTGTGTAATTTCTGTGCCACTAGCAGAATCAGTTTTTGATCAATTTGTTTATAGATCAATGGCAAACAGGGAGTGTTTGAAACTTTTCTTTGCAGATGTTACACTATTGTTCAAATTCTTTTTAAAGAAATGTATAATTTTATTCAGCAGGACACAGTAAATTGATCAAAAGTAATATTAAATGCATTAATACAGTAGATTTACATTTCACATAAATGCTATTCTTTTGAACTTTTTATTCATCAAAGAATCCTTAATAAATATATCACGGTTTCCACAAAAATATTAAGCAGGACAACTATTTTCAACATTGATAATAATAAGAAATGCTCCTTTAGCACCAATTCAGCATATTAAAATGATTTCTGAATGGTCATGTGACACTGAAGGCTGCTGAAAATTCAGCTTTGCAATTACAGGAAAAAACTACATTTAAAAAATATATATATTAAATAGAAAACAGGTATTTTAATTTGTAATAATAATAATTCACAATATTACTGTTATTACTGTATGTTGATTAAATAAATGCAGCCTTTGCACACATAAAAATATTTAAAAATCCTACTGACTCTAAACATTTGAACGATGGTGTACATACATCACCCTGTATGTGTAAAAACATTGGTGAAAGGCACTTAAGTTTGGTAAACCAGCAGCAAAAATGACCTTACCTGTTTTTTTCAAGCTTATTGTGCACTTCTCTCGTTCCTGCCCTGTAAACACAGGTCATAAGGTCTTTAATAGTTAGCTCTCAAGCATAATACAAACACACAGCTGTAAAAAAAACACCTATAAAAGTTTTCACATGATTCAGTCTTATACAATGGCTAAGTAAGGGATAATGTACATCCAGCCGGTTGTTATCTCAGAATAAACCCCAACAGAGTGATCAGGACCCCGACGCACTTATGTGGAAAGTACACGGTTACTTGCCACATAAGTAAATAATTAGACGCAAAATATTGATTTGAGTTGAAATATCTGAACGCAAAGCTTCTGTGAAGACAGCAGTTGCGAGCAAGCGGCAAATTCAACATTTGAACGATGGTGTACATACATCACCCTGTATGTGTAAAAACATTGGTGAAAGGCACTTAAGTTTGGTAAACCAGCAGCAAAGATGACCTTACCTGTTTTTTTCAAGCTTATTGTGCACTTCTCTCGTTCCTGCCCTGTAAACACAGGTCATAAGGTCTTTAATAGTTAGCTCTCAAACATAATACAAACTCACAGCTGTAAAAAAAACACCTATAAAAGTTTTCACATGATTCAGTCTTATACAATGGCTAAGTAAGGGATAATGTACATCCAGCCGGTTGTTATCTCAGAATAAACCCCAACAGAGTGATCAGGACCCCGACGCACTTATGTGGAAAGTACACGGTTACTTGCCACATAAGTAAATAATTAGACGCAAAATATTGATTTGAGTTGAAATATCTGAACGCAAAGCTTCTGTGAAGACAGCAGTTGCGAGCAAGCGGCAAATTCAAACTAGATGGACATTTAAGGGAAACGGTGCAGTCAAACCACTTATTACACAACATTTCACCACAAAAATAATTAAGGCAATAAAATAATTAAGACGAAAATGTTTTAAAACCTTACCAGTTTGTTAGTTCTCTTATAATCCATTACAGCGAACAAAACAATCACAGCAAAATGGCAGCAGCTGCGTTTGTATGAAACGAGAGCGAGTCCGCGATACCAGGATGACATAATTAAATAATTGTACACTATTTTGAATCAAGTTTTAATATTTTATTAGCTAAACAAACGCAAAGCTTCCACCAATAAAAAATGGTTCAAGCAAGAGTACAGCGCCGACTGCTGTTACCCGGATGAGCCTGTGTTATTAGCTTTTACCGGTTGTTATCGAGGGATAACATACCTCGGAATGTTGCGACTGACCAATCAGAATCAAGTATTCCACAGGGCCGTGTAATAACATAGTGATAAATAACAGCTTCAGGTCTTGACTCACCCTCCAGATCTCTTCTTGCCGTCCAAATTACGGTGGTCATCAGGCGGACTGCCTCTAACCACAGGGCTGGATTGGACTGAAGGAGGTCCAGGCTGAGGGAGAAGTGCATGCTGGGAAGCTGTGACGATGGGGCCCGGGTAGGTCTGGAGCTGCTGGGCTGGTTTAGTGCCATTGGACTGAGACAGTGATGTGGGCTCTGGCTTCACCTGAGACGAGATGAGGGGGCGCTGGTGCAGTGCCTGCTGGTTTGGCAGCGAGTGGGTGTCTTTTCTGGGTGGTGTGAGGGGGGGTGCTGCCGACGGGCTGAGAGCTGTGGTGGGGGGCGGGGGTAGAGCGGGTGGAGTGGAGGACACCACTGGAATGGGGATGACCGTGATGGGCATGGTGGGGGGAGGGGGAGGGGGAGGGGGATAAATAGTATATCAGCAGATAACCAAATGGATAAACCAAATGATAACAGAAATGTGATGGTAATAATTATTCTACTCTTAATTATTTAATTAAAAATAACAAATAAATTAAAGAATACATTTTCAGTTAACATCCAAAACAAGCATAAAAGATAAAAATAGGATGTCCTATCTGTCTGCAGTGTCTCTTATTGTGATCTAGTAAACCGTTTTGAAGGAAATGCAGACGACTGAACAATATGTTGGACACTGCAGGTAACCTTTGACCTTAAACATATGATGTGATGACATCTCATCTAAACTTGGGCAAAATATGGAGACAGGGCAGCCACAAATCAATATGGGTCAACAAACCAGCCTGAGATTATATCTAGCTCAGAGTGAACTCTATTAAAGGAGCTTTCGTGTGCGTACAGACAAATAAGTGTTGCTGGTTAACAGTGGAGGATAGAGATTACTGTTAGAGCACTAACGTTTCTCTGGCCTAAATGGAAACACGATGCTCGTCCCCCTCCTACCACACTCCCTTCTTCAAGCAGGGCTGCTCGAAAACACCACAGGACGGCCTCCTGAACCTTCAGTATCAATTATACATGCTGTTGGACTCGACTTTACACCGTTTAAGAAATAGTAAAGACACACTGGAGAGACACACAAACTGCTTTTTGACTCAGAGAGGAGAACTAGAGTTTCAGCACGTGATGCACTAAAGGACTTCCACTGCTGTTCAATAGTAAAGTAATTAAGGAACCTACATCTATTTTAGGTGAAAGGATTGGTCGCAGACTGAAAAACATTCAATCACTTTTTTTTTTTAGTTAAACGTTTATCCTGAGTTTAATGTGCAAACCAAGGCAACTAAAAGTAACCCATTCATAGGTTGATTTTCCTGAAAAACGCACATACTGTGGCATATTCAACACTACTGTTTGTTTGAGCAGCATCTGAATGTTAGAATAAAAACAAACAAACAATAGGATCAATATAAAATTAATATATACACTACAATTTAAAAGTTTGGGGTCAGTACCAAAAATACAGTACAATTTTGAATTATTATTACAAGTTAAAACAACCGTTTTCTAATTTATTTGTATTTTAAACTGTAATTTATTCCTGTGATGGCAAAGCTGAATTTTCAGCATCATTACTCCAGTCTTCAGTGTCACATGATCCTTCCGAAATCATTCTAATATGCTGATTGCTGAATATTTTTGTGGAAACTATAATACATTTTTTTCAGGATTCTTTGATGCATAGAACAGAATTCAAAAGAACAGCATTTATTTGAAGCCTTTATCACTTTTAAAATGATAATTGAATGCCTCCTTGCTGAATAAAAGTATTAAAAAGTAAATCAAACACCAATTTTTGCTTCATTTCGTTTAGTGACAGAAATTACACTTCACCTTTAGACAACTTAAAACCATTTTATTAACAGTAAAACAGAATAAATCGCATTAACACTGAATTCACCTGAAAAAACTCTTAGGCTTTGCTCAGCTAAAGTGCATTTATATTAGCTCGCTGTTGTAGGGTTGAAGGAGAATGATCCTGATCAGCGCTTTTATGGTTAATCCAAGTCAAGTCATTCCAGAAGCTTTCTGTATGTCCCTTTACATTACTGCTTTTATTATTCCAACTATTTTAGCACTCACCTAGGCTATGTATAACAACTCGAATTGGTCAAAAAGCTTAAAATGTATTACGAACATAGCACTGAAGAAAACTCTGCTTCATATCAGCCAATTAATAGCAATCAAAATATCAAAAAATTAATCACTGCACAACCTATTGCTACCAGTTTTAAAAGAATCCTCTTAACGCCCAGGGAGGTAAAGAGGTCACAGGTATACGAGGTGCCCTAGATAAACTGAAAAAGACACAGGTGTGTGTGCGTCTGGAACGCCATGAAGCGCATTTGGGTGAAAAGCCAGACAGCATCAAATCATGTGCGCTCAGAGGATAATGAGACTTTTAAGACAGGCATTCTTATCGTTTATGAGTGTGTGTGCGTGTGTGTGTCAGCGAAGGGGGTGGTGAAAGTGCTCCAACCTAATCTCAGCCAATCACAGTGCAGCAATCCACCCCCACCAGTCACCACTATGCTATTTGAACAGCGCACGCTTCCTCCTGCTGAAAAGAGGTGGGGGGGGGGGGGACCATTTGCTATGGAACCAAACAACCAATTACCAGAATACACAAGGAAGCAAAATACACACAAACCAGCAAGCCTTTCAAGTGAAATGTGACTGATCTGTCCCTTTAAATACACTCGATTTCCTGACACTGGAGCTGTTAACAGCTGATTAATGACACATTATTGATTTCTTTAAAGTCCCCCTGTAGTGAAAATCAAGTTTTTTATGTTGTTTATTTGTCTATGTGGTGTTTTTAATATGCTTTTAGACAAACCATGTGCCAATCCATTAATCAACACCATTGCGGAGTATTTTATCCTTAAAACTGTAGTTTCCCAATGGCAGTCCCAGAATCGCGGTTTGAAACAGCGCTCGGTTTGCTACGTCACAATCCAATAACCAATCACGTCAAGGGATCGATTCCTATCACTATGCAAAATATACCAATACCAGCACAAAACCAAACATAAATTAGAGCAAAAACCCCATGAAGCTGTGGTTTAATGTGAATTTAGAACCGCTAACTTGCATTATAACCCGTGGAAACTGTGTAAAAGTAGCCCGGAGTCAGACCCACCTGTCCCGCAGCAGCGTCTGCACTTCACACGCGTATGCTCGCGGGCGCATTCGGCTGCATTCAAGTTTTCAAGGCATTTTAGGACACAACATCGTCAAGTAAGTAACTTTAACGAATGTTACAGTATTCACTGTATGTCCTCTAGTAAAAACATAGTTTTATCAGTCATTATCCGTGTATGCCATTGTTTTGCGTTTACTACAGTTCAGTGGATCAGGAGGACCTGGCTTGTGTGACTGAGTGGAGGCAGGACTAATTTGCATATTCATAGATCCGCATATAGTAAATGAGGCAAGGGTGTAGAGTTATATTCAAGCTATTTTAAGGCATGAGAAAAGTATTTTCACAAGAAAAAACATTTAAATATGTAATTTTGATGATCAAAGATAAGTTTTAAGGGATAAAATATTTGACTACAGGGGGACTTTAGGTAAAAGAGGAAAAAACACCTCCCACATGCATAAACGCATTTCAAGGTTCCACTTTTCTTTGAATACTTCTAATTGTGCCAGACTAGAGAAGAGAAGCTTTTTTTAAACAGAATTTCTCTGGACAACACCTGCCTGTCTGAAGTATTTTGGTGTACCTTTTTTAACAGCTATAGAGGGCAAATGTATAACTGCACACAGGAAATGACTGTCCACCAGCAGGCAATGCAATTTACAACCCAGCATTACAAACTGCTGGCTCATGCTTTTACAGTCACATGCTGAGTAGAATTACAGTCAGCTGTGGTGAAATATACAGAAGTGAAACTGATCGAGAAGATTTCTATCACAGGCTTAGACTGGGTAGTAAAATAATAATAATGATAATAATAATGAGACTACATTTGATATATCAATTGAACAGAAAATCAGCTAAAAAATTCAAGTATACAATTAGCAAATTCGAAAAGAAAAATATAATATTATATTTTAGAATACATTTGATTTCTATTTATATACCTAGAAATATAAAATCATCTAAAAAAATCAATTAATCAATCATTTGGAAAAGTATATATATATATATATATATAAGTATACAATTTCCAAGTGAAAAAAGAAAATAAACAAATTATATTCCAGTCAATTGGCAATACATTCGATAAATCAATTGAAATGGAATCAGTTGGGAAAAAACGATTAAGCAATAAGTTGATCTTTGGATATGTATATAAAAGTATACAATTTGCAAATGCAACAATAAAATAAAAATATAATATTCATTCACAGTATTCATGTCAACTTCATTCATCATGGAAAAAGTGTGATTGTATTTTTATATTTACTAATGAATAGAACTGCCTTCTGATTCTTTGTAATTACATATTACAATAATAAAGTGATGAAAACAATTATATTTAGCATGATCGACTGCTAAACATAATACTGTATGTTTATCATTTTTTATATTCAAATTGTTAATTCTATTTATCCTCATAAATAGTTGATTATTTGATATAGGCCAATCAATAAACTGATTGCGTGGCCCCCATAGTCAACAAGCTTATCATGTAAATTCTTCCTGAGAATGTCACTCTCCCAGTATTATTTGTCAGGGCACCACGATGATCCAAAACTGCAGGAGTGTGTTATATAACTGCAGTACATTTTGGAAAAGCAAGCAGGGGGTTACTGTCCTACTTTCCCTCTGGTTGTAAACCCCCTCCCTGCACAGAGCAGCAGCGCCAGGCGCGCACATGGAGCGAAGGGGGCGGGCTCTGTCCACGCGGATCTTACATGAGGGCGTGGCTAAGGCAGACACATCACCGAGGCGCTTAAGGGGCGTGGCTAAGGCAGACACGTCGCCGAGGCTTCAGAAAGCGCCAGCGGAGGCAGGCACATCACCGAGGCGCTTAAGGGGCGTGGCTAAGGCAGACACGTCGCCGAGGCTTCAGAAAGCGCCAGTGGACGCATGCAGCGCGGGAGAAAAAACAATAGTGTGAAATAAATTAACCGTACACTATTGGGCTAAAAACAGTCTACGAAAATACAATAAAACATTACATCCATTCCCTTCTACAAAAAGGATGCAAATAAGAGCCGCGTAATGTGATACTTAGGTCATTATGTAAAGCGCAACTGAACTGGCACTCGCGCACGTACTTGTAAGCCACCGCCCTTAAAAGCAAGCAGGTATGTTTTCCTACATCGCCACTGCAATGAAGTATTCAATCACGAACTATCCCAACAGCCAAAGCAGATGAGCATTCTCTGCATTTTAATACATGGCTGTCACTATCCGGAAAACACCAGTTTACTACCCTAGAAAGTAAACGTAAGCATAGCCTACTATACTGCAGTTTTGCAGAGTCTTGGTATTATTGGCGTATTATAACATATTTCATGTCACGCACTACACTGATTCCTGCTATCACGTAGCTTGTGACATCCCGTGCAACAATGCCTCATATTAACCGGCTACTGCATTAGAGAACAACACGATTCATTAACGTGACCCTCTGTCTGTCATAAAGGTGTATGTCCCCATATTTTCCTTTTCTTACCACGTGCTTTTTGTTGTTGCAGGGCTTGCAATTCCAAAAACTTCGCCGCCTCTAAAAGCGTCTCGATACTCATCTCTGTTTCTTGTTATGCTCCAAAAACGATTAGAGAAATGAATTAAAAATGCTAAATAGATAGACTCAAATGCTTCTGCTCGGGATCCAATCTGCTCGTCTATAAAAAAAATAGTAAAATAAAAGGAAAGACGTGACTGGATCCCCCTTGAAGTCACTCTTCCACGCACGTAGAGGAGTCACAACAAGATGGCGGGTTATTCAGTCAACATATCGGGCCATTGTACAGACAGTTGGGCTCCGCCCCTTGCACCAACGCCCCGCCCACACACGCTGGTCTTGCAAAACACGGAGATGGCCGTGTTTTAATAACCGCGTATATTCGATGAATTACGATAAAAAACAAACTGACATACGGTCAGTAATACGTGTAGCACCACTTTTCTTCGAAGTTGTTTATAAAGGCCGAAGCAGAACGCTTAAAATATAAATGTCAAATCCAGGTTTTACGCAATACACCTACACTTACCACGCCTCTAGCTGATTAATAAAACATGAGATTAGAGCAGCCAATAGGAACGCAGCCACACAAGGCATGGTATCTGCTCACATGGATGTCATTCTGAATCTGCGCGTTTACCGCCAACTAAAAACGAAAATGTAACATGCAGGTCGACCTCTGGTGCGGTTTCTGATTCAGTCTCTATTCAAACAGACAAGAAGTATCGATAAACAGTCCGCAGTAACGCTCTCGGTTACTCACGTAACCTCGGTTCCCTGAGATGAGGGAACGAGACATTGCTATGGGGACACAGTATATACTGTATGCGTGTGTATATTTACTTTAGACAACACACACTGCTTTACAGCAAAACCTAAAGTATTAAGTACGAAAAGTAAAAGTTATATATAACTTAATGTAATTGGTCTCCCACACTACTACATATTTACATTAATTCATAAAAAATTAACCATTTACTGTGACCAGATATGAACAACTTTTTTATATATAAATATATTAAAGCAGTCATATTTTGACTTCTCCAGCTCTCATCATAGTGGATTCTCACACACTGCTTCAGTCACATGTCTCTCTGCTCCTTTAACAGAGCATCTGTTGTTAGAGCAGATAAACGTGACTCATCACAAGCCAACAGACCATCCCCCTCAGTACCAAAAAACACACCGTCCACACCAATCATCTACTCCATCAGTGTGGGCTGTCCTAGGCGGCTGTGCTGTGGTCTTTGGTGATCGTTAATCATAATAGAAGATCAAGCGCACAGCTAATCTGGCATCCATCACAGGATCTTACTCTACTCAACACCCCATTGTTTGTGCCCTGCTGGAATAAGCAACACATTTAACACAGACTAGACCATACAGCTTAACTGTCTTCCTCGTATAAGGTTAACTACATGAAGTAAATTGGATTTAGGAACACTAAGCTTAAAGGTCATTATTCAATTATTGAACACAAGCAGATGATTTCCACAGTGATCCACAGATGCTGACAACCGGCCTCATTCTGTCCCGCTTTAGTGCGGCTTCCTGCCTGGTGACCTTTGACCCCCCCCCCCACTGTAAATCCACTGCTTCAACAGCTTCAAATCCCGGGCACGCTTTCAGCACTGCAGGGTCCTTTTCAAACCCTACCTTTTTTGTCAGAGTCTTCGCTGTACCCCCTACCTCTCATGCAATACATTTCACGTCTGGATTGATGATCTGACTGTCAAAGAGATTGATCTGGCTTCTGTGCGCTCTGCTAATGGGGCTCAGCTGGCTTCAGAGAAGAAGAATGGACACAGGAAGTGGAAAACTGAAATGGGAGAGAGCGAATAAAGCACAGAAGAATGCGGGTGCCATCCAGATCTAGATGTGTCTGTATGCTGGCTGAGGGAGGAGCGGCTCGCAGACAAATATGTAGGCCAATCTTTCTACTCAAGTGCTTGTGAGGAAAAAGGCATCTGGGACTTGGGGAATTCTCCTGAAAGGCCATAACAAATCATCCTGCCTCCCCTTTCTCCATTCCCTCCACCTCTTTTCCCCTTTTATAGCCCTTCTGAAGTGCGTGACTATATGGCACAGTCACCCTGTCTGGGCAACTGTTGCTAAGAAGGAGCTGCGCTGTGCCTTAGGAAGCAGGTCAAGTGTATCTGATGGAATGGGCTAAAGATGCATTATTAAAAAGAGGGCCGAGCCCAGTGAATATTCAGCAGGTGTTGCTTTCCCACACACAAATGCATCAGACAGACTGGGTGCATGGGTTATGTGAGGACTAGCTGACTTTAAACTGAGGCAAACACTCTCTACTGTCTATAAAGTAATGCAGGAAGTGCTCAGAGCTTACAGGCACAGGCACATCATCATAGAAACTCCAAGCCAGGGCCCAGCGCATGGTCCGACCTTGACAGAACTCGGTGTGTGTTACTTTGAGCACCTGTGAAAGGACAAAAGATGATGAGGAACTCATTAGTGGTGATTAAAACACAAAATAGCCTGTGAATCTTACAAAAAATATCAAGAGAGGTCTGGGTTATATTAAAGATATCAGAAAATCATATTTTGCATAAAGAAAGGATAATTTTTAGGACTGCATTGTGACATATTCATGACAATGAAGCACATTTCTCTCCCATGTAAATGTAAATCTTTATTAGCAATTCATGTTTATTAGCATAATTTATTTACAACAGGTATAATTCAGTACAATATATACCACCATGATATATGTCTACCATTGCTTTTTACAATTAGAGTTGCACAGTATATCGGTATCATATAATTTATCTGTTGATGTCACAGATTCATTTAATTTATCAGTATAATGGATATCGGACGTTTAATTGTTCATAATCATTTTACATATTTTTATATTTAGATTACTTTTGCCATCATTTAATGCTCATTTAAAAACAAAAAATCTTTAAAAACCCATTTATTTCAATGTAATTTAAATTTGCACATTAATATACATACAATTTGCTAAATTAATATACATTTTAATACTGTATGATGTTGTGATGGCTAAATTTACTGGTGACATTTAAAATGTAAAAATAAAAACTAAAATAATTTATTTACATAAAATAGTATAGAATTTTAATACTGACTATTTATCAGACATTACATTTAATATTAATAAGTCCTTCCAAAAAACAAAACAAAAAAATTATATATATAATATATATATATATATATATATATATATATATACATATATATATACACACACACACACACAAATTTATTTATTTAGCATTGTAGTTATTGTAGTTATTATGATACTTTTTACATTACAGTAGGTTATAGATGTTTGGCAGAGAGAGATTAAATGTGCTTGCAAAATATCACATTGCAAAAAATGGTAGGACTGATGGAAAAATGACTTATATAAAATAACTTATATAAAGCAATATAAACACATATATATGCATAGTGTATGACCGACACGAGACCCCCTATCCCAGAAGGCTTAAACAGAGAATTACAGACCTGCTATTCACACAGTGAGGAGTGTTTTAACACAGATTTGTGGGTGTTAGGGGTGAACTATAGGGTGAAATCAAATCCCACTGCTCTTCAGTAAAAAAAACACCACTCAAGTTTGACCTCTGTAGGCAGAGGGCATTCAAACCACAGATAAAAGCAGAGAAAAAGGAGAGGTGAAAGTGAGAGGGCATTAGCATATTAATTAGAGCCACAGTGGCGAGAGGAGGAACTGCTGGACGTTAGCCAGGAGAACAATGACACTAATGGAGGGTGACGGGACTCTGACAACTTCAGATGAATCAAACCACACATCAGGCCTGAGCCGAGCCGAGCAGAGCAGACTGACACCAGACTAATAACCTGTGAGCAGGGAAAATGCCTTTCATTCACAGATATCACAGCGTTCTGACTGTACAGACACAGGCGGAGTAATCGAGAGGGGCTGGAGGGGTGACGTGGGAGCTAATGATGCCTAATGAAATCTGCTCCATTAGCGCTCCCTGTCGTGGTATGTTTTTAGGCCACGCTAGTGAAACTCATTAAGATGAATTAACCTGAAGTCTTGGGGAAACGCCCACTCATTTATCATTAAAGATCTGAGAGGCAAAAAACAAACACGCACGCAGTGGTCCAAGCAAAACTCACCCCTTGTTTCCGCAGCTCATCTTTCAAAGGTGCCAGGCTACACTTCTTTCCCAGCATGCAACTGTACCACCTGTAAACAGAAAAAAGGGCATGTGAAACCACCAGCCTGGACACCGGATCCATGGGAGCACATCAAATAAACTGCAGGATGCAGAGCCGTGGGTTGAATATGGGCTCGCTCTGTGGGAACGGTCAGTTGGGCTACTTTATATTTTTAAGATATGTTTAATTAAAAACCCCACCTCGACAGGGAGCTTTGAAGCTGCGCATGAGACAAAAATCAATGAATATCCACCTTTATAAAAAAAGATGAGGCTTCATCAGCCAGTGCCCACAGAGCGTGGGAGGATACCACGGTTTATGCATAATTGATTGGTGCTCAACTCTTAATTTTCTAGTTCTTTTGGTTTCTAAATTTACAGAATCTTGCTTTTAATCACTGAGGAATAGCTTAAAGGTCAGCATGAAGCATGTTTACAACCCATTTTATCTCTTTAATGTGACATTTATGAGTCAAACAGGATATTCAGTGAATAAATGTAGGGCAAGACTTGATTTTATCCAACTACTGGATTGTGGGATTTAACCAGACGCAAACACAGATTTGTTCGTTATGGAGGACAGGCAGCACCCATTTTTAATTAGGATTTTAAAGGTCATGTTCACTTTCAAGAGTATTCCTTCTTGAAATCCATCATTATTTGCAATTAATGGCATAACTTTTTATTCATCACCATTAACTGCCACTATATACATATATTACATAACAGAACATATCATTCTTTTATATTTACTATGCATGTATGTAACACTTAAATTATTGTATGTACATACAATGCCTAAATAGCCATTTAAATATTAATATTTCATTTAATTGTGTATAAATCATACAACAAATATTTGTAAACATTATTTTGCTTTTATAATTATATTATTTGTAATCATAAACAGCATTAATTTTGTAAATAATTATTATGCATGCATTTGTATGACTTATTACATCTGAGACTAATTTGAATATTTGCAACAAAAAAAATGGTCACACTGCAGAGGGATTTAAAATGATGAAGTGAATGCAAAGTGGTGATTTAAAAACGTAAAAATTTTTGGGCAACATCATAAATCATATGGCGATCATATTATTTTCTTTAGAAAATAACCAAATCAGTCATGCACAAATAGACACAGACTAACTCCATGCTGACTTTAACAACTAACAGACAGTCATGTAATAGACTCTGCTGTAGACTGATATTTGTTGGGTGTTGGTTTGGGGTTATCAAAGGCCAATCTGCCACAAGAACGAGGGAGTGTAGATGAACACACATTACACTGCATATGGAGCCTAAGGGGCCTGACAATGGTTTTATTTTGCGGAATGAAATATTAAAGAGCCCTAATATCCACACATGCTCTCCCAAGTGGAGTGGAGGGAGGCTGTGTGGCACCCCGGCACACTCGGCTAATAACGGGGTACTCCAGCATCTATTAGGCCTTAGAAAGGGGGTGTTTATGCATTCTCTTTAGTTATCAGACCCCAAGGAGGAAGTAGTAACAATTACGATTTCAATAGCACAGATTGTCTGGCATGAGGAAAAATCAGAGTTGTATTTAGTATGTAAGTGAGACTGGAGGAAGACTGGCAGTAATTACAGATCTGAGGGGCTGGAGAGGAAGAAGCATCTCAAGAGGGCCAATCAGAATGCCTGGCTGGCTCTACGGGCACCTGCACACACACACACGCTGCTTTTACGACAGTCTGCTCGCGTAGTCTGAGCCCATGAGAGGGAGCTGGTAACACAGTGAAATGGAAGAGTGCCCAACTTCCCCTGCGGACACCAGTCAAATCTCAACACAAGCAGAAGACACATGAAAGCACTCAAAGGTTTAAAACTACATTTCATATTACATCCAAACAGTGAAGCTTAAATACCATTCAACTTTCCAACTTGTCGATCAACTTTACTATGCACACGCACACATGCACGACCACGTTCCTCTTGGGGTTCAGCTCATGACATGGTTAATCAGGCCTAATGTTGGTTGCTCTGCCGCCCCTCCCTGCCCATTTCACTCCAGCGCTCCACTGACAGTCGTGGCACAGGGGGGCTCGCCGTCTGCCACAGTCACACACACAGCTGCTCCCGTCGGGCGGCCCGGATACCACCTCGGGTAATTATTTACTCTGCCTGTCAATTAATTACGCAAACTCTGTATGACAGATCCATCTGCCCTGCCCCTTTCATCAGCATGGCCTCTTCCCCTCTCTGGCTCTGTCAGTAGAAAACACCTCCTCTGCAGATCTGGACACAGCTTACTCCCTTCACATTACACTCCTTATAGCTCATCCTAAAGTCTCAGTGCCAGACTGATATATCAGTCACTATTTGCACATTTTGAGAGTTTTGGCATCAACCGATAGCTATCGGATTAATAAAAGTCTAAGTTTCATAGTGCAAATTTCCCGTTTAGAAAATTTCTAAATTATATTGTGCAAAATAAATATATTTCATTTGAAACATCATTTTGAATATTATTTTATATTTATTATGCATGCAGCATGATAGATATATCTATCTAGTATTAGTTATACTTTATATTATATAATAAATATTATATATAAATAATTACATTTACATTCATGTATTCTCTGAGTTATATTATTGTATGTATTCTGTCAATCATATATATATATATATATAAAAAATATATATATATACATATATATTTTTATATGTATATATATATATATATATATATATATATATATATATATATAT